AAATAAAATTTTATCAAGTTTATTCTAAATACAACTTTTTTGTTGTTTAAGTAACAAAGAAACAGATTTTTTTTTCTTTTTTTACTTATTTGCTCATAAAACTAATAATGTTTGTAACGACATCAGATTTTGCATTCCCAAGTTGGAATAATCTAACTGTGTCTCGGTACAAGCCCTCACCACAGTTAGAATACGTCCCATATACTTGCAATGTAGAAAATTGGAGCGGATACGCTCCGACACAATTTTGAAGATTATAAAAGGATCTGCACTGGAAATAACTTCCAAATAAATCAAAATAATCTTTTTGGAGATTGCTTATGCATTTTATCCCAAAATGTAATCCATATAAAGATGTAAATCCAATTAATGTTCTCAACGATTTTCTCTCGCTTCAAATTTACCTGCTATGTTTACATTCGGAACTCTCTAGATTGTCCGTAGTAAATGCACTGAGTATGATTTATTGCTCGTGCTTCTTTTGCTACATTATACGAATACACGGAACGAATTCTATCATTAAACCGGGTCCGTAGGAAAATATCATTTTAACGATGAATGTTCTATCAATGCATTCCCTGGATATGTGTAAATTTCTACTTGATTGTTGTTAACTTTGCCTTCGGACGCCATTTTTGTTGACTTCCTTTGGTTTTACATGTATTGTAAATGTGTATGTATTAGTTTCGTTCAAATCATACAGTCAAGTTTATTTGGGTGAATTTATTTGGGCGACAATCGATTATGAAAAAGGTAATCGATAATCAGAATCGAACACCCAAAAACGATCGACAATCGATCGTCGGCGACAATCGTTTCATCACTAGTGGAGTGAGCAACCGCCATGCACCGACAGTTCACACCCGCCGTGTGCTCCTTGATTTAATTGGGAAATAACGGAAAATCCGTCGAAAATTGGATGTGTAAATAATGGTCTCACAGTAAGTATAAAAAATGTCAGTCAGCTTTTGACTAAATGATAGATTGAATTTTCTGACAAGGTCATTGTTTTGACTAGAGAACTTAGGAAATTATGACTTTAAACAAGACTGTTGATATTCTAATTAAAATAGATTTTAGATCTGCTCGTTTACTCGCTACACTGTCAGTGTAGCGAGTATACGAGCGGATCTAACATGTACTTTTAATTAGATTGTTCGTGTAGCGAATGTGCGAGCGGATCTAACATCTAATTTTAATTAGACTGTCATAGTAACGGCAAGCGGTATATCTAGTCTTCCCGACTCCCGACGCCCGACTCCCTACGGTCCCGGCTTTGGGATTTTTAGCGATTTCTTTTTTACCTGTGCACAGATTTTATTCAAACTTTTCAGGCACATTTTCTGGGTTTATATAAATTCATTAGTGCATAAAAACTTTAGGAAACTTGTCTTTTTATTACTGAATCAGCAGTATCACCTGCCAAAAAGCGGTAAATCTAGTACTCTGTTATAAATGTTAAAACCAAAAACGGACACTGATGTTTTCGTAGAATCGCGATTAAAACAACAAAATGAAGAATATATTTTTTAAACAAGTAACTGGAAAACCTCATTTACATACCAGATAATTTGTACGCACTGAAACTCACATATTTTATTTTTGTGCGCACTGAAACTCACATATTTTATTTTTTTTAAATTAAGAGTTATGCTTATTAATTATCGATACATAGCGATGAGCGGAGACGTGAGGTTTCGTAGATCATACTATTGATATTATTTGGGAAGATATTTCTTCTTTTAAAAAGATAGAATAAGTGTTTCAGTGAAATTGAAGGTGTTAGAAAAGTATGAACAATTTAATTTTATAGATTCCAACATCAAAATGACTCTTAAACCTGTTAATTCCTTTTAAACCTGTTAATGAAGAAGATAATCACTTATTATAAAAGCTTTATTAAAGCAGTGTTAGCTTGGGTAAAATAATTAATTTTCAAATCACCTGGCTGATACAATGAAAGTGGAGAGATATTCTGTCAAATTAAAAAAAAGTAATTATGTATTGTTAACTGCTTCTAAATCAAAGCTATTAGTATTAACCATGACTTGTTAACATAACATGTAACCGGGGACAAACCATGGTCCTTAAAATATTACTGGTAATCTGATAACATTTTTGTCATTGTGTAGGTTTTCATACGATAAGTAGAATTTAGAGTTAACTTAAAATCAGTTAACAAAAAGTAAAGTCAAATAAAAATAAATTAATTAATAAAGGGGGGGGGGCCCGACGCATATATGTCAATGTCGTACCTGTGAACATAATGTGGCAATGAACGATTTATACACGAAAAAAAAAGAAATTATATAGGTGTTTTTAGGCGTACAAATTATCTGGTATGTAAATGAGGTTTTCCGCTTATTTGTTGAAAAAATTATTATTCATTTTGTTGTTTTTAATCGCGATTCTACGAAAACATCGGTGTCCGTTTTTGGTTTTAACATTTATAACAGAGTACTAGATTTACCGCTTTTTGGCAGGTGAAACATCTGGTTCAGTAATAAAAAGACATGTTACCTAAAGTTTTTATGCACTAATGAATTCATATAAACCCAGAAAATGTGCCTGAAAAGTTTAAATAAAATCTGTGCACAGGTAAAAAAGAAATCGCTAAAAATCCCAAATCCGGGACCGTCGGGAGTCGGGCGTCGGGAGTCGGGAAGACTAGATATACCGCTTGCCCATAGTAACTGCTACATATTTGTCATCAATGAAAGCGCAACAATACAATGCATGTGGTTTAACAGCTATCAAGACGAAGGTCCATTAGCAATAGTTTTACATTCATTTGGGTTGATGGGTAGACACATTCTCTTTATTTTCCGACTTCCGTGGTATAAAAAAACATGTGCCACAACAATGTAGTTCTGTGCTTTCTGTCTTTTCAACTACAGATGCAGATTTAGAAGCCGAATCCTGTGCTCATGGTCATATGTACAGTCATAAACAAGAGTTAACAATGACAAAACAGTGCTCCAAGTTGCGACTAAAATAGTCGCATTTGCTACCCAAAAATTGATTCTGCGACTAAAAATGAAAACACATTCGCATTTTCGCGACTGAGAAAATTTGGGCTGGAAACGTCCAATTTTTAAGATCAGGATCGAATTTTCATTTGTAAAGATTCTCTATCAAGAAAATGTTTGAAGACATATACTTAAATACACTTTACAAAGCGTTGCATGGACTTAGATCATGTAATGTTATGACAGCATGGCATGCTGTACAAAGTTTGATAGAACCTGAACCAGAGACGTGGACAAATAATGTTCCTGATAGAATGGCATCCAAACTTCATACACTTTTTAAGATCCAACCTTGTTATTGAAGCATTTGATCAATTGCTTGCATATCATAATGAATCATGATTGTATTATCATGCTAATAAAGAGTGTTTTGGCGGCATTTATAATGACTGTGTAATGGGTTAGGTACGTAGTAGTAAGTAAACATGACAAAAAGCAGGCTAAATCCTGTCTCAACAGCTGTCAAGCTTGTATTTTCATTTGATAAAATTTTATTTCTGTAATCAGATTACTTGTGTTCTTCTGTACAACCATAAGGGTACGTGCATTCAATAAAAATATTTCATTCAACCTAGCAAATTTTTATAGTCACAGTAATAAGTAATCTATGATATAATAAAGACATAATACATTATCCTTATTTAAATTATCAAGTTTTAAATCGTAAGCTATCGTATCCAACCGTAAAATTGCCGTTAAAACATGTGATAAGACGTCAAAACCCTTACTGCTGTCGTAATTACAACGTAAGAAAAAACGGTTCGCCCAGCCATTATTCATGAGTCTCTGTATTGTTTCCTTGTCGCTTTCCTACTAGGTACAACCGAGACAAAATGTGGAGTTATGTCCAAGAGACGATGTAGTTACGATATCGACACATTACTTTTTTATAGTTTTCTATTATATTTCTCTATTCTATTGTGTTTATTACAATACTTCCTGTTTTAGGACTATTTCAATACTGTTCAATATTTTCGATATCATGCCGATATCGTATTATGGTTGTTCCAAGAATTGTGGTTTCAATCCTTAATATCGTGTTTCTAACAACTGTTACTTTAAACTTTATAAATCTTTCCCTGAAGTGTCGATATCGTCGATATCGACGATATCGCTTCGATATCGAATCATGTTTGCTCAGCCCATGGTAAATACCTTCCCTGTTACTTTGAATGTGTTTATATTTAATTACTTTACTTTTACAAAGATTTTACCTGCCTTAGATATCGTCGATATCGACGATATCGTATCGATATCGAATCATGATTGTTAAAAGCATATAACTTTACCAACCTTCACCCTAAATACAAAAACTTTATTTTTACAACACTTCTGTGTTTAATAAGTTTACTTTACTGTCGATATCGTCGATATCGTATCGATATCGAATCATCCTTGTTAAAACATTTTCAAGAATTGTCACCCTAACCCACCATCTTACTCTAAATCTAATCTTAAACAATAACAACCCTAATACATTCTTAATCATAATTTATTTTCATATTCATGCCAATAATGAATCAATTTTGACTTCACTTGTGACTTTGTAAAATTATGTTATACCTCACTGTGAAAATAAATAGTGCAAATAGGATCGATATCGATACGATATCGTCATGATATTGTCGATATCGACGACATCGACACAATAGAGAGTCTCAAATATGGCACCAAATATTTCCAATTAATAGTGCTGAATATGATCGATATTGATACGATATCGACATTATATTGTCGATATCGTCAATATCGACATTGAATTCGTTGTTGGACATGTATGAAAATGTGCGGGGTTTACGATAAGTTACGGATTATCTTGTGTATTCGTACATTTTCCCTACTGCCTTCGTCGAAATCCTTGAGTAAGCATAGACCTACTTGTCATGGATGACTATCGCAGATTGATAAATAGCTTTTGGTATTTTTTTAAATTCATCCATTATGCTACTTTAATAAAGAAATTTATCATACCAATGCCTGTACTTCCAAATTTTGGGTCCACATTGCATCCACATTTGCATTTTCCTTTCTTTTTTGCTTTGTAATCAATGATATATGATTGCCCTGGAGCAAGTCTTCCAAGAAGGTGTTCGGCAAATGCAACAGTGATATCTGTTTCCGTTGGGGCTGTTTGTTTAGTACGACTCTGACTTTCTCCTTCTTCAGACTCTTTGTAATTGAACACTTTGATCAGACTTTCTTCATGCAAACCTGAAATGATTCAGAAACATTAAAGATGATGAAGCAAAACAAGTTTGTCAATATTATGGATAAGTTTCTCATTGACTATCTAATACCCCCATCATCTCAAGCCACGGTCCGGAGTCTGCATATAGTGCTCTCTCCTACCCGTGGCTGCTTGATCACAAAAGGTGTCGTAATCTTGAATATTTACGCCTCTCTACTGTGACGTCATATTCAGTCAGTGGCATGTTTTGTTTCCATCGCAATTGAAATCAGCAACTGACGTCAACAGTATACAAGAAATATTTCCTGTACTGGGATTGGACATTGAAAGGTCGCAATAAAGTTCATCATCTGACTATGCTTTACTCACATTAGTCAATTATTTAATGAGCTATGAAGAATTCTCTTCTCGTTCAACCACGGCCAGAATGGGAGAGGATCGTACATTTTGTGCATTTGCGACAATGCTAATACCCCATTCATACGGCGAAAATTTGCTTATGTGTGCAAATTTACATTTGAGTAAATATACACACGTAAGTAAAAGTTAATTTGCTATGCGTTCAGACGAGATTTATGTACTGTAAGTAAATCCTTGTATTTTCCTATAAAATAAGATCCACAGATTCAGAATTGTGGATTTTTATAGAAAAAAGGTTATTTTTTTACTATTTTGGTATAAGACTGACTTTTGAATGTTCCTCAAAGAAACTAGAGGGTAATCCTATATATACTCAACAAAAAAAGAACTGCATATTCAGAATAATATGAAAATCTAAGTTTTCAGTTTAGCCTTATTTTATTTAAGTGATTAAAGCGTGTGTTCTGATAAAAATCAAACATGTCCTATGTTGCAAATTGAAAAGTCAAGTTGATGTCATTTTCATCGCCCCCAAATTCAAGGGGCATAACAATATGTACTGTGCAACGTCTCAATGCTAGTGGGTTTCCAATGTACGGATATCGTGGAGGAATACCACCTCTTTTCAGTCTCTTGCGAACAATTTATGCACTATTATGCTGGTTTTTTCATCCAGCAATTGTAGCAGAAATTTTTACAGCAAGTTCTGAATAGCATGAGGTGCTGAAGGGGGGGGGGGGGGGTTCTGACGGTCCTGCCTGGTTGTGGTTACCTACGGATGGCCAGATAATGGTCTTCAGACGTTAGTTTAACGGTTGCAAAGCCCATTGATTTATTCCATTACAGTTGCAACTTTCTGTTGCGTAGCTCCGTTTAGTATCATCGTTAGTCTGTTTGTGTTCATCTTTGTTTCGGCGTGGCATTGCAGCAGCAACACTTCAATCAAATCTTAAATATGGGTTTAATAGGAGTGTTAATAGTTTCTCTAAATCCAAAATATCAACGAAAATAGACATCCGATTTAGAAGAAATCATGAAAAACACTGCTTTCATAAACATGTTTAATCAAGGGAGATAATTCAAGACTTGGGTTTTAAAACCTCATGTTGTCCTTTAATAGGTCAGGTTCCAATGATTTAAAAAATAGTTGTTACTTGTACATTTTAAAAATTTCTTTGACGAGTAAAGCAATATGCGTTTTTTTTTTGTTGAGTATATTTATTTTTTGGTACGGATAAAAGCGAACTTTTAAGAAAAGTTTTAACAGGAAAAAAGGATTATTAATTAAAATCATTGTTTAAAGTTAGATAATGCTTTGGTCTCGGTCCTTAAGACTGTAGAAGAGCCGTTGGGTGTTAAGAAAAAGATGGCTGACTACTGGTTGGCGTCTTCAGCAGAATAATTTTTTGGGTGTTTGGAAATCCACAGTACATCAAGTTTGAGAGTTCACTATAAAGTATCTGCTTGAATGTTACATATATTTTCCAGGTGTATGAAATGGACAATCGATTTAAAAAAAATTAAAACAAATACTGCAGTATGTGAATTAGAAATAAATACGAATCCCCATGAATCATGGAATACTTAAAAATGCGTATTTTCAACAGTGTTGTTGAAATTCCTGTAACATCAATTTATATGTCAGTAGCTTACCTTGGTTTATAATCAAAGAAAGGTAGAAGAAAGTCAATCTGTAATGGGGTCCGCCCGATTGATGCAATACCTATACCTATCACATCTCCGGAGGATTCCCATGAAGACTACTCAGTACTGTACTTGAATAGTAAGGAGACTACTTATTGATCCTGCAGGACACATGTTTGCGAGACCACAGCTATATTTTTATAATTTAGAGGCATAATCATAGGTTTGCCAGAAAGGGTGCAAGATGCACACGTTTTTGCAAATTCAAATTAATCTCAGGGGAGACTGGAGATGTACTGTGGATCCTTGTTTTCAGAGTTGAAAAAGTCATTTGTTGAAAGATCTTTGCTAGTACTTCCCGGTGTATCCTTTAAAGTCTTTAAAGCAGTATCCTTATCAAAACTCTAAGTTTTTACTTTCAGCTGTCCTTGAAGTACATGTACAGCAAAGATGACCATAAAAAATCAAGTTTTTTTCTTTTGCTTTCTAGTTACCATGTTAACAGACTGATATTATGCACTTTACAATGCATAAACAACCGAAACAAGATTTAAAATGTAGATTTATGCAATAAACAAAACAAAATACATACATAAGTAAATTTGCTGCGTGTTCATACGACAAAATTTACTCACAAGAACTAATAATTTGCGACAACATGTATGCAAAAGTTAATTTGCACCTAGTCCTGACCAGGTGTAAATTTACTCAACTGTGCAGAATTTACATATGAGCATATCAGTTCATACGACAAAAATTGCACATGTGAGTAAATTTACATATGAGTAAAATATACTGAGGTATGCAAATCATGTTGTATGAATGGGGTATAAGATGCTGACAGTAAATCCTCATATTTTCAAATAAACTAAGGAGATGGACAGATTCACAATTGTGATTTTTTATAGAAAAGGGGTATTTCCTTATTGTTTGTTGTTTGGGTATAAGACTATCTTTTAAATCTTCCTCAAAAAACTAGGGGGGGGGGGGTGTCCATTCCACTGATTTCTTGGTACAACTTAATTAATGACTTTAAGGAGAAAGAATTGTAGATATAGGAATATACACACAAAGTTGGAAAACTTATTAAAATTATTAATAAGAGCTGCAAGATTGACATGGCGAAATTTTGTTGCAAATTTGTAGTCAACTTTTTCTATGATAGAAAAATAGAACATTTAACATTAATAAACTACAATTGTTCATATTTGTGACGAAAGAACTTTTTACAAGCTTCAATTGAAACAAAATGACATTATTGTCGTCCTTTGCATTATTGATTTCTTACATAATGCTATATATTCGATTGTACAGAAACATTTCTTTTGAAATATTTTGAAACTTTTATTTTGGTTTTATCATAAGGTTTTAAAATATATAAACAAATTAATCATAATAACACATTTTAATAGCAAAATAATTTTCTCAAAAACACAGCTCATATATTGCTTTATTGTTGGAAAATATCTTAGCTTCCGTCCCAAAGATTGTAAAAGAGCCATTGGGTGTAAAGAAAACGGGAATTGCCATCTACTAGTTGACGTCTTTGGCAGAATAAGGACCAATTTAAAATTTGTTTGCTGTTGGGAAATCTACAGTACATCAAGTGTGCAAGGCCATTATAAAACATCTGCTTGAATATTAAATAATAATTATTCTTTTCAGTATGATGAAAAGGATGAAAAAAATCGAACAGTGATTGATCTCAAAAATCTTTGAACAATACAAATCTATGTTAAAAGGAAATTAACATGAACCCCTGGACATTCATGTTGAGATCAGCTGGTGCCAAGTAGGTTACTTACGAATGCTTATTTTCACTAGCTAGTTTATTGAAATTCCCGAAACATTAACTTTTACATGAGTAGCTTGTCTGAATTAAATACAGAATACTTTCTAGCCAGCAAGTCGCTTGTGTGGCGCAGTGGTTAAAGCGTCTGCTATAGAGTCGCAAAGTAAGGAGTTGATCCTTACATCGCCAGTTCGAATCCCATTGTTGGACGTGGAGACCGGTCCTTTGGAAGAGACCGTATATAAATCGAGCTCCCATGTCGCAGTAGGCGCAGGCATGAAAAAGACCTCTCCCTGCTCAATGGCCCTGAATGCTAAGTATAGGACAGAATTTGCAGCTCTCCACTGGTAAAAATTGATGAGTGAAAAATTCTCGAGAGGGACGTTAAACAAATGTATCAATCTAGCCACCATGTTTACAGACTATTTTACATGCCAATTCATACAGAATCGAAACAGCACTTGAAATTAATAAAATAAACAAAACAAATTACATACATATATATGTAAATTTGCTGCATGTTCATAGTACGATACAATTTACACACATGAACTAAGGTCAAGCTTAAAAAATTCTTTGTTTGCAGTTGCCGACCTATAATTTTTAAACTGGGTAGGTAGATAGGCATTCTTCTTTTTTTTTTTGGAAAAAAATCAATTTTCGTTAGATAACAAATAAAAGAGGTTTTCATAGACCTACTAGACATGAATAAGCCAAACTCTTGTTATAAACCACTGACTGATAAAAACAAATGTCAAAATTTAAAAATGAATCAGTTTCAATATTCTGAAAAATTTAAAAAAAAAAATAAAATCACAAAATAGCTAAAATAAAGTTTGGGTCGGGTGCATTTTTAGAGGGTCGGTAGGCAACTGCAAACAAGCTTATATTTATTTTAAGCCTAATAATTTGCTACAGTATATGCAAAAGTTAATTTGCACCTAGTCCTGACCAGGTGTAAATTTACTCAACTGTGCAGAATTTGCATCTGAGTATATCAATTCATATGATAAAAATTACACATGTGAGTAAATTCATTCATGTGTAAAATATACTGAGGTATGCAATTCAGGTCGTATGAATGGGGTATTTAGTGAAGTCTCTCCATAAAACATTTCAATCTACATTATACATGCACAAACAAAGCGCCAAAATATTCACCCAATACTACAACTCTCTTCTTGACCTAAAAACATGTCCATAAGACATGGATGCAACATAGAAACG